TTCTTCCTACTCTCTTCTTTGTAAGGATTAAAGAGCCTTGTTTGCCTTGTCTTCAGCTATAAGCCTCTTGGGGTCCCTTTTGGCGTGCAGATGTGTTGTAAGATAGAACATTAAGTAAAAGCAAGGGCTGGAGAGGTTACTGAGGTTCAAGTTTGTGGAATATTGTGAACCTTGCATTTTTTTTCTAGCATAGTCCTGTCCTCAGATCCTTCTGAATTTCTTATCTTTTTCTACAAAGGGTGGTGGTGTAGTTTAGTTGCCAATGACATATGAAAGCTGATTTAGACCAAATCAAACAAACAAAACAGCAAAAATAAAATAAACAACACTCCCCCCTTCCCCTTCCTTCTCCCCTCCCACCCCCGCCCCAGGCTAGTTCTGGAATTACTCTTTCAATGTGAAATATACAGTTCGCCTTGACCTCTCAAGGCAAAGTCGTACTAATATGTAATAAGTTCATAAATACAAATCTTCCGTAGAAAATCAGCAGAATTAGAATTTAGGAATGTGGCCCATACTAAGTCATCATGAAGTGACTTAACTGTGTTCATTGTACAGGAAAGTGTTTGTGATTACCCCTCTTGGATTGTTCAAAGCTATGCTCTGATCAGCCACCTAAGCATCCTAACATTGGTGCACCAAGTTCTGTTACCACCCAGTACAGTCTTTCGTACAAATAAGAAGCCCTTTGGCCACTGCCCTGTGAAATGCAGGGGGTGGAATTGTATTTTCTCTGGGTAAAGGGACAATGAAAATGGGAGCAATTAAAAATAGATAATGGATCTGAGGTTTAGCCCCTTTCCCAGCATCTGCTGTGCAGATATGTAAATAAGAGATATTTGAGATACTCTCAAATTGAAAGTCCTGTCAAGTTCGTAAACTTAGACATGTTCCTTTCAGACTTGTCTTGCTGTGAATTCCCAGTGTGATTGACTCAAAAAAGGATTTACTAGATTAGATTACAAAATGGTGTTTAGCAAATACTGCTAAATATATAGCAATACTTCTTGCATAAATCCATTTGTCTCAGTAGTTGCTGCATGGTATAGATCTGGGCTGTGATTTCTTCTCGGAGTGCTCTTTTGTTCATGTCATCCTGAGACTATGCAACACTTTATGATAATACGTTAAACACAATAACTGACAAAACTAAATTGCTCTTTGTTTTCCTTCTTTGGTTTGGCATCAAGAGCAGAACCATATCTTCTAAAATGTAATGTGAGAGTAGATTTTGTGCCAAGGCACAAATTCTTCCATAATAGAGAAGACACAAGTAAATGTATCTGTAGATACATAGTTAGAATCTCGTATTTCTTACGAGAATGAGATTCCAATTTTAAATGTTTGGGCTGAAGTATTTTTGGTTTTGGGTATTTTTTCATGCATAATACTTCTTCAAAATTAATAGTTCTACTTTTTTCCCGTGTCATTTTTATGTGTGAAATAATAGTGTGTGATCTTTTTTATTTTTTTTTCTTTCTTCTAGGATTCCCCAGAATTTGATCTACTATTTGAAAATGCTTTTGACCAATGGGTAGCAAGCACAGCTTCAGAAAAGTGCACATTCTTTCAGGTTCTACATCACACTTGTCAGCGATACCTTACAGACAAGAAGCCAGAATTTATCAACTGCCAATCTAAAATTATGGGAGGTAAGTCAATTGAAGCTGGAGTACTTGGTGCAGTTGGACACGAGATGATTTGCACAGGTTATTCTGTGTTGAAATGAGCCTAATTGCTTCTTGAAATCATGGGTCTGAATATGCTAACTTTTAGTAGTAAAGTTCTAGGCTTCAGCATTTCTTCATCAAGCACCACTTCAGACTCTATTTGCTTCCCTAGTCTTCAGTTCTAGAGGTAACATTCCTTACCCACCTGTGAGAAGTCATTCTCCTCTCTCTTTTTAGCAACCTTGATTTTGATTTGTCTCTCTACTTTTGTTCATTCAGAAGCATTTCTGGGCGGCTTGAAATACTTCCTGCTAAAGCCTGTTCTGCATTGCCATTTCCTCACAAGTCAGTGAAAAAGTGGTTATTTCTAAACTTCCAGTGGGTTTTGGGGAGTTACGCTGATCTTGACAGAAATCAGCTTGTTTAGAGTTCTATTATGTTTCACAAGTCACATATCTTAAGGTGAATTTCTGGGATTGGACTAAAAACCATTTGGTTAGGTAAAAAAAAATTCAATATGTGAAACTGGTATTCACCATCCACTTACTGAGCAACAAAAACTATTATTCGGAGTATTTTCACATGTTTCACAAAGTATTCTTTAGGAAAATAAACGGGTTTAGTTGTTCTCTTAGACTGAAATTGTTGAAAAGTCTCCTTTTTGTCTGCTCTAAACCAGAATATTTTTTAAAATTCTTATATACCTCCTGTGTTCTTCACAGCTGAAATAAAAAATTGTTTTTCTCAGTCTCCAAACTGTAGAAAGAAGTGTAAGCTGACTTGGGGCCTTGTTTAGTTGTTGTTTCTCCCCCCAGTATAGTTCAGTTGTAAATATGGAGAGCCTTATTCAGTTCTTTCTAGTAATTCTTCTCTCTTACAAGTCTAGAATATATTCCTGTATGCTATTACCAGCACTGTATTTTGTGCTGCCACCTACATATATTCTTTTTTTTGGCTGTTAATTTGTCTTGCATCCCTTTCCTCTAAAATACCAAAGGTAAACTTGAGGAAGGGGGAAAATCATCTCCAGTTTACAGTTTAACTACTGACACTGAGGTTACCAGTAGCTTTGTGGTCATAAGTCAGAACTGTTCAGTCAATCATCCTTTTATTTTACTCTTCTCAAACTAGGAAAAAAGGCACAAAATTTATTGTAAACTTCTTCTCTTGTTATTTCCCCTTCCACATTAAATAGGATTTCCTTTGTTTTATTTTTGGTGTGGTGGGGAGGAGGGAGGAGCAGTTTCTGCACTGGTGGGAGAAGATATCCTCTGCAATTTCTCCGTTTCATATGGAAGAACTCTTATATCAAGCCTTTGTTTGTCATCTGTTTGCTCGTGATGCTCACTCCCATCCTTCCTGCCAATAAGTCAATATTAATAAACCACCAGACATTTCAGCCTCTGAAAGTTTTACTCTCATGTAAGATTGACCTTTCTAAAATTGAGTTCCTGATTCAACTGACCCGAATATCAACATTTATCCTAAACAAGTGTCATCACATTGGGGATGGGAGGGGGGGTGGTGATGCCATTTAGGTTCATAGACTTCTGCTTTACTCTACTTTTATTTTTTTAACATGCACTAGACCCAACCATGTCCCATGAAGCTTACCCACATTCTGTCTTTTATAACTTTGTAGCTGAATTGGGCTTATTCAGCCACTGCCTGATACCAAATGGTGACTGTTCCCATATTCCTTGCCTGTCATTCTGACAGTGCATAGACGCAGTCTGTGTGTGTACACACACAGTAAAGACTACCAATGTGGTACAGGGCAAGGGACTAATAAACCTCCTCATTGATACAGTGCTTCTGCTGTTCTTCACACTGCTGACTTTTTTCTCACGCTTGGTTATAGGCACCCTGTGGGTAAGTTTAAATTTGGCAGAAACCATAATAACTTTAAACCAAGTAATAGTTAACCCTAAATTCCAGTGACTTTGTATGTCAGCCTCAAGCAATGTAAAGGCTACAAAAAGAAAAAGTTCTTCATTAATAGATAACCCGTATCAGTAATTATAAAAGGCAATGCCCTCCTATTAATGGAAATTGTCTTTAAACAGACTATTGCATCTTAAGTGTTTTAACGTCTGCTATTCCTTTCAATATTCAGATTGGTATTCTTAATGCAATGCTAAGTTTTCTATGGAAGTTCTGTATTTATACTATAATTACAAGCTTTTTTGGTGTGTTCATGTATAGAGATAAATTCTTACTCAGTTCCAAAAGCATTGTTCTCACACCCATGCTGGTATTTGTTGAAAATACAGATAATTAATTATGAAAAAATAGATTAAATTAGCCTTTCAAACCTTTTTTTTTTTTTTTTAAGTTGTGGGGAAAAAAATACTCTTTAGCAATTTTCCTAATATTCTAATATACATGGGGATGTATTTCACTAATCCTTCCATCATCTTCAAAAACTTTTGCATTACTTTATATTTAAGTGTATCTATTGGAGCCATGTTTTTTCCAGTAATTGATTAAAAATAAATAAATGTCATAGCAGCTTTGAAATATCATATAATCACAGAATGGTTTGGGTTGGAAGAGACCTTAAAGCCCATATTGTCCCAACCCCACTGCCATCGGCAGGGACACCTTCCACTAGACCAGGTTGCTCAAAGCCCCATCCAACCTGGCCTTGAACACTGCCAGGGATGGGGCAGCCACAGCTTCTCTGGACAGCATGTGCCAGTGTCTCACCATCCTCACAGTAACGAATCTCTTCATAATATCTAATATAAATCTACCCTCTTTCAGTTTAAAGCCATTACCCCTTGTCATGTAACCACATGCCCTTGTAAAAAGTTCCTCTCCAGATTTCTTATAGACCCCAATTAAAGGCAGGTCTCCTTGGTAATATGTAATACTGTGAAGTTAGTTCAGTCACTGGTTTAGGTTATTACCTCATTTGAGGCAAATGGAGTAATTAATTGAGCAAAAGAAGCACCATTCATTGACTTCAGAAGGTGTTCTGCAAGTTGGTAGTTGGCAGGCTCAGACACTGAGGAGATACTTGCAGTTCTGCTAGAAGTATTTTGAAGCCCAGGGATAGACCAGTGTGTATCAAAATCCATTTAGTCAGAAACCTGCAGTATCACCGTTTTTATGGAAAATACAATGAAATACATTGTCAATCTCAAATTCATCCTGACGGGACAAAGTAAGGTCCAGCTGTAGTCAAGCAAGCTGTAGTCAAGCAACCTGATTATATAGCTCAAAATTAATTAAATTCAGTTCAGAATTTCCAACTTGGTGGCATTTTCTTTATTGTTTTGTAGGTGTGTTTTGCTCATTAGCCGAAGTAGGATATTCAAATCATTCTTAAGCAGTGCAGTCAGATTTCAGATGAAGCATATCAACTTCATCCGCTCCTCCAAGGTAGCATTTATGTTTAAAGTCATATTCTTATGAACTTTCTGGGAGACATGAACAGAAATACTTTTGGGATGGTTAGTCAGTTTAACTTGTAATACCCAACAAATGCTTATTAAGTATTTAAGTATATTTTAAGTATATGCATGCACCCACATGCTTATGTATGTAATGATACAGATAAGCACATCATATGCATAATGTGTATCTTGTAGCTAATGCATTTTTTCAAAAACAAAACAAAAAAATTACACCAAAGAACACTTCCTTCCAGTGGAATGAAGATGAAAGAACTTGAAGGGCTTGTTTACAAGCTTACTTATCTTACTGAGCCTTATTCTTTTCTAAAGGGTAGAAGGGAAGAAAGTGAAATTCATGCTGCTCCTGTTTCTGCAGGAAGAGCTTAGGAGCTTAGCCGTAAGTAAACACTGGGTGTCCCTGTGGAACTACAGAACCTCTTCATTGCCTTCCTCCTTCTGCCTCCTCGCCACACACCCACTTCCCCTTACAGGCCAGAGCTCTGTAATGTTGTTCTTCAGAAACATTTTTTGCTTTATTTTCATTTGAGTATCATGTAAGGATATAGTTGAGTAATACAGGCTAGACTGTCTTCTGTAACTTGATTAACGACAGGTGATCTTAAGGTCCTTTCCAACCCTAACCATTCTATGATTAGTAATTACAGCGGAAATGAGAACTGATTAAAGGTGTGGGTGCTAATTCTGGGAACAAATAACAAATTCAAATTTAGGGAGACTAACAAGATCACTCGCATTACTAAGATCTTGTACTAAATATTTCAAGTTTGTCTGTTGTTTAGAAGACACCTCTCCATAGCTTACGTCATTCTCAGTGTTATTTTGGAGAGGAAGGGCAGGCATTTGGGGATAGAGGGTTTTTTGACAGAGGTAGGAAATACTTTCCGCTTCTGTATCTTTCTAACATGTTTTCTGGAACTGGTTTAATTTGCAGTATCTTTGTGTTATGTTAATTGTTATTCATTGGCCAAGTTTGCATTGCTATTGCTTTTACATCAGCCATGTAAAAAACAAATTCTTGACATAACATTAGGCTGATACTGAAAATCATGTTTCTGGATAGAACCCTCGGGTACAGCATTTGCAGCTCTTAGGAAGTTTAGGTCTGGGCCTATAAATACAAATCAGTTGCTGCCACCTTTAGATATATATTAGAAGTGCATATTCCTTGGAAAGGAACAAGACCTCAGGTTGAAGGAAGTTGATGATCTTGCAGGATATTTTTTTGCTTGTTTGGTTTTGTTTTCAGCTTTGTCCCACCTACATGCTTTGGTTATAACAGTCATTTGGTTTTGGTTTGGATTTGGTTTGTTGAGTTGTTTCTTTTTCTTCTGCTGAGGGTTTTGTTTGTTTTTTGGTTTTGGATTGGGGTTGTTTCCTTCCCTTGCTGGGTTTTTAGTTTGTTGGTGTTCCGTTTGTTTGTTTTTTCAGCTGATTTAATTCTGCTGAATTAATTAAAATATTCTTAGAAGCACAAAGTATGGGCATCATCGCCTCTGCAACCTTTTCTCTAGGACAGCTGGCAAGAGTTATTAGTGGATCATTCTCTTTCTCCTCCAAGTATATATTGCCAGTGTAAGAATGGTAATGAGTACTTTTTTTTCATATGCTACTGACTCAGCTTACCCCATTTGAGACCT